GACTGGCTGGGCAACGCGGCTGGCCTGTCCCCTCCCCTCCCGGGCCAGGGGCAGGGGGATGGCTGGCATGACGAGGCAGGCTGGGCTGTGGGAGGGGCACACACTGGGGCCTGTGTCGAGGTGGGTTGCGGGAGAAAGGAGATACCCCCATGGAATCCTGGGGAGTACTGGGCCCCTGGGGGACCCCTCCTGCCAGGGGGGCCCCTGTACCCCAGAACTTCCTCTGCGCTGACCCCTCCCCCTCCTCGTGCCCGTCTCCCCCTTTGTTTTCCAGTGCAGTTTGCCACCAATGGGCACCAGGCGTCTTTCACCATCCGAATCCACCACGCACCCACGCCCAAGCTCTATAACCCGGGCTCCCCGGGCGAAGGCGGAGGTGAGTGCCAGGCGGGAGCCAGGGCCCAGTGAGGATCTGGGGGGGAGAGGGCGGGACGGGCCTGTGCCGGGTGACCTACAGGCTTCTGTAGCGGGGAGGGAAAGGTCAGCCCACGATATTCAGGGTCAAGGCTGCCCCCACTGTCCCTCATAATCCTGCCTGCACCTCCCCACACAACTGGGGTCCCCCTGAATCCTGCCACTGCCTTCCTCCCCCCAACCCAGGGTCCCCCTGAATCCTGCCTGCACCTCCACACACCACCGGGGTCCCCTGAATTCTGCCACTGCCTTCCTCCCCCCAACCCAGGGTCCCCCTGAATCCTGCCTGTGCCTCCCCACACAACCAGGGTCCCCTGAATCCTGCCACTGCCTCCCGACCCGGGGTCCCCCTGAATCCTGCCACTGCCGCCCTCCCCCTGATCCAGGGTCCCCCTGAATCCTGCCTGCACCTCCACACGCCACCGGGGTCCCCTGAATCCTGCCACTGCCTTCCTCCTCCCGACCTGGGGTCGCCCTGAATCCTGCCTGTACCTCCCCACACAACTGGGGTCCCCTGTATCCTGCCGTAGCCTCTCCTCCGACCCAGGGTCCCCCTGAATCCTGCCTGTGCTTCCCCGCACTACCGGGATCCCCTGAATCCTGGCACTGCCTCCCTCCCCACAACCCGGGGGCCCCCTGAATCCTGCCTGCACCTCCCCGCACAACTGGGGTCCCCTGAATCCTGCCTGTCCAGCTCTCTATTGGCTGGAGCAGATGGCACCCAGCTGCAGCTATCTGAGGCTGGAATTGGGGGGGGGGGGGAGCTTGTCCTCCCAAGGCAGGATCCCCTCCCCCAGGGTCTGGAGTGCTGCTCCGCTTCCCCGCAAACCTCTGCCCCCCACCCTCCCCCAGCAGATTACAACATCACCGCCCTGGTCAGCATTGCGACCAAGACCTTCCTGCGGTACGACAAGCTGCGGGCGCTGATCGCCAGCATCCGCCGCTTCTACCCCACGGTGACCATCATCATCGCGGACGACAGCCAGCACCCCGAGCCCGTGGGCGGCCCCCACATTGAGCAGTACTTCATGCCCTTCGGCAAGGTGCGGGGCGCCGGGGGGGCGGTTGGGGCTGGGGCAGACACGGGCGCAGGACCGTGGGAAGACGGTGGGGTGGGGATCTTGGGGCGGGGGCCAGAAGAGACTGGAAGGGGGTGGGGCTCGGGTGGCCGGGCCAGGCACTGATGTGTCCCCCACTCTCCCCCACCCAGGGCTGGTTCGCAGGGCGCAATCTGGCCATTTCCCAGGTCACCACCAAGTACGTGCTGTGGGTGGATGACGACTTCATTTTCACGCCCCGCACCAGGGTGGAGAAGCTGGTGGACGTGCTGGAGAAAACCAGCCTGGACCTGGTGAGTGTGTGTGTGTGTGGGGGGAAATGTGGGGGGCTGGCCATGCCTCGGGGTGGGGGGGGGAATTGCAGGGTGTCCAGCTCTGCCTGGTGGGGGGATCCCCAGATCGTGCCTGGCTGGGGATGATGGGGGGAGTTCGGCCACACCTGGGCAGGGTGGGGGGCTCCTGAGAGTGGGATTCCACAGCTCCCCCCACCCCCCACTCTGCCGCTCCCCCCACCCCCACCAGCTGCAGGGATCCTAGCATGGAGCCATGCGGCCCTTGGCGCAGGGAGGGAAGGGGAGCCCCCTAGTGGCCACTGCCAGGCATGACATGGTGGGAGTCACAGGAGCGGGACCCCAAGGCTTTATCTCCTGCACCAGGCGGCTCCCGCCCCGGAGCATGGGGGGCACCCGAGTCCTCGCCCCAGGGGGCAGCGGGGCAGGATGGGTCACAGAAAGAATGCAGGTGTCAGAGCTCGCTGCACACTGACCCCAGGGAAGGGAGACCCAGGAGAAGGGGGGAGCTGGCCCAGGGCCCCCAGGGGAGGGAGACCCAGGGGAGGGGGAGCTGGCCCAGGGCCCCCAGAGCGCTCAAGGGAGCAGTACCTAGGGGAGGTGGGGAGCTGGCCCAGGGACCCCAGGGGAGGGAGACCTGCGGGAGGGGGGGAGCTGGCCCAAGGCCCTCAGCGGAGCCGGGGAGGTGGCCCAGGAGATGCGGGGACCTGACCCAGGGCCCCCAGAGGACAGAACCCAGGGGAGGGGGTATCTGGCCCAGGGCCCCCAGGGGAGTGGAACCTGGGGGAGGGGGGAGCTGGCCCAGGGGATGGTGATGGTGACTCAGGGGAGAGGGGAGCCAGCCCATGGCTCCCAGAAAAGCATGGCCCCCACGGGAGTGGGCCCAGGAGAGGCGGGAGCTGGCGCAGGGCCCCACGTGCTGCTCCCGGCAGCCCGTCTGTCCCGCTGTTCACGTCGGCGTGTCCGGCAGGTGGGGGGCGCAGTGCGGGAGATCACGGGGTTCACCACCACCTACCGGCAGAAGATCAGCGTGCAGGCAGGGGGCGAGGAGGGTGACTGCCTGCAGATACGCCAGGGCTACTACCATCTCCTCGAGGGCTTCCCCGGCTGCGTGGTCACCGATGGCGTCGTCAACTTCTTCCTGGCCCGCACAGCCAAGGTGCTGCAGGTGGGGTTTGACCCCCGGCTCAGCCGTGTCGCCCACCTCGGTGAGTGCGGGGGAAGGCTCGTGCCAGGGCTGCACCACACCACTGTAGCACCTGCATCATGGTTAAAGGGGGGGGGTGAGGGGGGCTGGGAGCCAGGACTCCTGGGTTCTATCCCCAGTTCTGGGAGGGAAGTGGGGTTTAGTGGTTAGAGCCGGGAGGGGTGGGGGGTGAGAGCCAGGACTCCTAGGTTCTATCCCCAGTTCTGCCACTGACTCACAGGGGCATTGGTCACCTCCCTTGCCTCAGTTTCCCTCCCTGTGGCATGGAGGTGCTGACATGGGGCTCCACTGCAGGGCACACGGGGGCCCTGGCCAGCCGAGGCAATACAGCTGCAGGCTGTTGTCATTCTCGCGTGGCGGTTAGCCAGGCAGGCCGGTGCCAACCGGAAAGCCGACGTGCCAAACAGAAGTCACCACTTTTTAACTCGAGGCATGGGACGCTTCATGGCAGTTTCCTGCCTCTGGGGCCTGGTTCCCAAAATCCCAAGGGGGGTCAGTGGGAGAGGTCACCAGGGGGTGTCTCAGGGGACAGATCCTGGGAAGACCAGGGGGTCTGGGATGCAGGTTCGATCCCTGTTGCCCAGAGCCGACCCCCTCCCCCCAGTCATGCAGCGCTGAGCTGGCTAACCCAGCCCCTCCTGACCCCCGTGCCCTCCCTCCGGCAGAGTTCTTCATCGACGGGCTGGGCGTGCTGCACGTGGGCTCGTGCGCCGACGTGGTGGTGGATCACGCCTCCAAGATCAAGCTGCCCTGGCAGAAGACGGAGAGCGAGAAGCAATACGCCAAGTTCCGCTACCCCACCTCGGCCGACAGCAGCGTCAAACGCAGCCTTTTCTACTTCAAAAACCACTTCAAGTGTATGACGGGCAACTAGCCCCACCGGGCTACCAGCCCCGCCCTGCCAGTGAGCCGGACCCCAGGGGGAGCCCCCCTCCCATGGAGCTGGGGCGTTTTATCCTTGTACCAGGCCAGGGAGGTGACCCCTGCTACCCCTGGCTCGCCGGTGCCTCCCACCCAGCGCCATCCCCACGCCCTGCCAGCTTCAGGCTGTCTCCCTGGTGTGGGGGGGTGGGAAGTCTCCCCCACTTTCCCAGCAGGCAGCGGGGCCTGGGGGAATCCAGAGTCGCACAGTGGGATACTGGGAAATTCCCTGGGCCACAGGATGGGTGGCTGAGAATAGCTTACAGCACCCCCGTGGCCGAGCCCTCACCTTCCCCCGGAGACGCTGTTTTATATTGGACAGACCTGCCCCCCTTCACAGCCGGCTTTCTCCAGCGCCCCCTGCAGGAGAGAAACAGCACAGCCCCCACCCCTCCCAGCTGCCCTGGGACAAGGGTCAGGGCCTCATTTTATTTTGTGCCAAGTCTTTATAGCCCCCAGCTGAGTTCCAACTTCAAGTGCCAAAGCCTGCAGTGGGGGGCAGCCCCGCCAGCAAGGGGAAGGGCTGATGCCCATGGCTGGGTTGCGGGGGCAGAGGTCTCTTTCCAAGACCGAGGACTCTTTCTATACAGAATCCAAGAGCAGGGGCACAAGGCGAAGGGCCAAGGGGACTGGCCCCATCTTTGCCCCACACACTGGCCGGCCCCAATCCCATGCTGCTCCGAGCAGGCCCCACGGCCAGAGCGTCGGAGGGTTCTGGTTTCTAACCCCGGGTACCGGCGGGGCAGGAGCTGGCTGGTGTCTCTGGGAACTGGAGGCAGGACGCTGGGAACCGTTTGTGTCGTGCGTGTGCGTGTATTTAATGTGAGCGAGTGAGGAGCCAGGCGCTGTCAGGCTGCACCCAAGGGAGAGCTGGGGATGGCAGATGGGCTTGAGCTGCCATCCCCACCTGCAGATTTCTACGGCTGACAGAGAGGTGACGTTTTAAAGGGAAAAAAAGATGTTTTTATTTAAAAAACAAAAATGCATTTACAAGTACTCTCTTTGCCCTAAAGGCCATCCAAGCCCCGCCCCCTCGTCCTGAGCCCCGCCCCCTCATCCTGAGCCCCGCCCCCTCTACCTTGATTCCTAGTCATGTTTTAGCCGAACCAGAGAAAAACTTTTTTTTTTTTTTTTAAAGTACAAAGGTTGGGCTCCGAAGAGCCAGTGGGGTGGTGACATCAGAGGGAGCAGCCCATGGGGATACCCCCTGCAGGCCCCAAAGCCTGCCCACTGTGTCCCCCCCATGGCTGCAATGTCACCCTCTAGTGGCCCAGCTCTGTAATGCGCCTCTCCAGCCACCCAGAGCAGGGGTTGGAGGGGAGTTTGGCACCAGACCATTGCTAGCAAGATGGTAGCGTGATGCCAGTCTGGGGCTGGGGGGCAGCCTTGGGGGTGCTGAAGCATGTTATGGGGCAGGAGTTGCATGCTGAGGGAACAGATGCAGCCTGTGGCCTTTCAGGCCATGCTGGGGGCCAGGGCCAGCCATCAGCCAGATTGGGGGGGTGGGGGGGATGATTATGCCCTGAGCTCCATCTCAGCCCCCCCCCAGGAAGTGGGAGGGGGAAGGGCTGGATGCAGGGGGCCACCCCAGCCAGGGGGAGGCCCCTGCCTGCCAAAGCACATTCCCTCCTGTCCCTTCCCTGCGTGAAGTGGCCAGGGGCAGCTGCCCTTGTGCCATGCCACCGTGACACCAGCGGCCACAGCAGCCCCCGCCCCGGGGGGCTGTGGGAGTTAGCCCCCCCCAGCACAAATAAAAAGGGATTTTGGTTCCTTTCTGTGGTTTAAACTCTGTCTGTGAGTCTCTGTCAGGGGAAGGGGGGGGCAATTAAAATCCAGCTCCTACCCTGATCCCATCACCTTGCAGCTGGCAGGGTAGATCTTTCTTTCCCCTGGTGCTGGAGAAAGCCGCCCCCCCCACATAGGCTGGGGAGGGGAGGGACGAGGCATAGAGCCCCCTCCCCCAACCAGAATGCCAGCACCCCCACACATGCTCTTCCCAGCTGTAGTGGGCCTGTCCCCCATAACTCCCTGCCCCCACCCTCCATCCTTTGGGCACCTGCAGGGGCAGACAGGCTGCTGCTACACTGGCACCTGGGCACCTGCTCTGCCCCCTTGGATTCCCAGCCAGCACCAGGCCTGCCTGCCGGCCGCAAGGAAACTGCTCACACCAGGTCAGGTCCCCCTGGTGACCTGGGCAGGAGGCCCCCTCCGTCCTGGGAGCAGGCAACTGCCCCACTACGGCTCTGTGGTCTGCGAACGGCTCCTTGGCCCCCTGGTCCTGGGGAGGCCCTGTGGGCAGAGCAGGAATTCAACCTGCTGTTGCGGCCCAAGAGCCGATCTGGTCCCGGGGGCCCTACAGGCCGGGTGGTGCCCGCGATCCATTGCCAGGGGCCCTACACCCAGATTGCCAGATTCTTCTCGGCCACCTTTTCCTGGGTGGAAACAGAGCCAGCATGAATCCTGGGCGCGAGTCATTCTGCTCCCAGCCCCCCTGCCAAAGCCAGCTGTCCTGCAGGAATAGGGTTGGGGCAGCCTGGCTCATTAGGAGTCTCTGACCACGTTACCAGCTCCCCCCAGGGCACTGAACTGCCCCCACACGCCCCACCCATTCTGCAAAAGCTGGAGCTGTCAGTCCCTGCTGGCCTCTATCAAAGATGGCTGGGAATGGGACATGGATGCAGAAAGGGCTCCCCCCGCCCTGGGGCTGGATTGGAGCTGGCATGCCCTATAGGGCAAAGGCCCTGTGTCCCATTCCCCAGCCCCTGGGCCAGCCAGCTGCTCCATCTAGGTCTGGATCAGAGCCCGTGTCCCTAGAGGGAGCAGACCCACCCCCCTCCCAACCAGCCCCCTAAGAGCCAGATTAGAACTGGCGCCCTCTAGAGGGGAACCCCTGCGTCAGCCCCCTCACCGCGGTTTGCGTGATGCACGCGATGGCGTCCTGGACCGTCACAAACACCTGCTGTGGGGAGAGGTGCTGCCCCAGGCCGCTGCTGGTCAGCGTCTCCAGGACCTCACCTGCAGCAAGGGAAATGAGGAGACATGGCTCAGCCCAGCCCCCCCTCGGCACAGCGCTGGGCTCTGAGGGGCTGGGAGGGGGCAGCGGGGACCCCCCCGCCCCAACTTACCATTACATGCTGCCAGGTTCATGCGGATGCCAGCCTTCTGGCACCCCACGCACATCTGCAAGGCAAGGAGAGGGCAGGCTGGCATCTCTAGGAGTGGGCGGAGCCACATCCCAGCCCCGCCTCCCATCTGGCCGCAGGGCCCCCCCACACCAGCTGCCCCTGGTACCTGAATGAGCAGCCGGGCCCCGGCAGAGTCCACGAAGGCAATCCCGCTGCAGTCGAGGATCGCGGCCTGGGTCCTGCCAGTGGTGCCTGCCCAGGGGAGAGGGGAGGGGGTGACTGCATGATCCCCCCCGGCCTGAGGATGGGGCAGCTCTGCAGAGACGCCCACAGGGGCCGGGCCCTGTGATCCCAGCCAGACGGGCCCCCGCACTGCCGAGCACAGCTGCCAGCGAGACCCCTCCCTACAGAGGGGTGAGGGCTGGGAGACTCAGGGCTGCCACCCTGCCCTGCCAAGACCCCCCTCCAGAGGAGGATCCACCTCCACAGCCCCCCCAGCCCCCGTCCCAGCCCATGAGGGGGCCACTGAGTGCCACCCGGGCTGCTGAGATCTGGGACACAGACACCTGCCCCCCACCATACCAGCACCCCCCCCAAACTAGGGAGTGGGAGCTGCGGGGGGGCCCTGCGTACCTGAGCTGGGGCACCCGGCTCTCCCATCGGGCACAGAGCTGGGGACACAGGTTTCCTGAGGGAAACAAGTCTGTTAATGCCACCTCTTTGGTCACCCAAAACCCCGCCCAGGGCCCTGCCAGGATCCCCCGCTCCCCCCAAGACGCCCCCCCACCACCTCCAGCCCAAAGCTAAGTCCCACCTCCAGTGGGAACAGCAAGGAACCCCCCTCCCCGCAGCAGGGGCAGGGGAGAAGCAGATGCAAGGCCAGGGCTGAGCATCTCCAGAGACATGCCGGCAGCTGGGTTCCCCTGGGGGGGGACCCCTGGGATTCGGGAAAGAAGCCCCGCAGCCAGGATCCTGGGGTCAGCAGGCCCATGGGCACAGGATCGGACTTGCCCAAATCCTGCCCACCTGCCCTGCTCCCACACCCCAGGACTGAGCTGCCCCTCCACCCCTCCCGCCCCCAAATCGCTGCTGGTCCCCTTACCACAGTGCTGATGCTCATTTTGGCCCCACTCTCCAAGGCCCACACTGCCTTCTCCCCCTGGCTGCCCCCTGGCCAGCTCAGGCCCAGCTGCCGGCTCAGCGCCTCACGGAAGAAGCCACAGTTGCCGTAGTAGATGGGGGCGTGGTAAGCCACGATCGTCACGCCGGGAATCTCAAAGCACTGGGGGGACAGAGCGCTGGCTGCAGCATGGGAGGGACACCCACCCCCATGGAAAGGGCCTGCATCTGCCCTGCCCCCCACCGCAAACAGAGGGAGGTTTGGGTGCTGAATTGCCCCACGGTAGTGGGGAAGAGGGCGGAGAGATCAGCCCTGCCTCTCGGGACACGGACAGCCCAGGTGCCATCTGAATGGAGCCCAGGGCAAGCCTCCACCACATCCTTCCCAATGCGCCCCACTGACCCGCCTGCTGCCTCTGCCCAGTGCTGTCAGCCAGCCCACCCCAGGTGGGTGGCTGGGAGCCCCAGGTCGCGCCCAGACCCCTCGGCGTCCGTACCTTGCTGTAACGTTGGACAGGCCGGTAGATTTCCGTGTTGGCTGCTTTGCCCAGCACCATACACTCGGCCCTGTGGGAGAAGAAGGCGCATAAGGCAGGGAGATGTCTGGCCATGCCAAGGCCAGGCTGGCCCTGGTCCCAGCTGGAGAGAAGAGGTCCCATTTCCCCCCCTGGGAGGGCATTGGCCAGAGACAGGGACAGCAGCTGGGAAGGCAGATTCCTGCCTCGCAACCCTCCTCCCGTCTTCCTCCTCCTCCGATAATCAGGTCTCCAAGCAGCCACGGCCAGCCAGCTCCTTGCGGGGGGCTTGTGCCTGGAGCAGGGATCATGGGGCAGATAGAGCTGCCCCCCCCAGCCCATGACAGAGCTGGATGCAGCTCCCTGGCTCTGCAGGTTCCCAGCAAACGAGCCCAGACGTGGGGCTGAGCAGGGCGCCTGGCACTCCAGTACCTCTGTGTGCGGTAGAGGACAGTCATCATGGAGAACACGACCCCCACGGCCAGGCCCACATCCACATTCAGCACCACCACGGCCAGCCAGGTGACCACCCAGACAGCCTGGAACGAGAGCGCAGGGGTGTGACGAAGTGGGACTGTTCTTAATGTTTCCTCTGAATAGTGTGGGGGTGCCTCAGTTTCCCCTAGGCAGTTCTTAAGTATCTAGGGGGTGGAGTAAGGGTGTATGATCATTGCAGTGCCCTAGAGGGCAGGTGTATGCAGGAGTCTGGACACAGAGAATGGCCGACACCCTGTTTCCTGGCAACTGATGGCCTGGGCCCTTCCCCCCCTGCAAGGTGAGAGCTGAAGGGTTGGAGAACAAAGGAATCAGGTGACCTCCTGGCCCGGGAAAGGAACAAAGCCCAGAGGAGGAGGGGCTGGAGGGGTTTTCAGTTTGGGGCTGGCTGGGACATGGAGTGAAGTGCAGACGTGGTTGTCTGGCTCACTGCCCCCCAGAATGGACCCAGCTGAGGGGTCCCGTTCTCTGCACCTGCAAGCTCTGTTTTAGACCATGTTCCTGTCGTCTAATAAACCTTCTGTTTTACTGGCTGGCTGAGAGTCACGTCTGACTGCGAAGTTGGGGTGCAGGACCCTCTGGCTTCCCCAGGAGCACCGCCTGAGCGGACTCGCTGTGGGAAGTGCACGGAGAGGCAGAGGATGCTGAATGCTCCGAGGTCAGACCCAGGAAGGTGGAAGCTGTGTGTCCTGAAGACAGGCTGCTCACAGAAAGGCGACTACCCCAGAGTCCTGACTGACTTCATGGGGAGCAGTTCCAGAGCATCGCCCAGGGACTCCGTGACAGGGGGTCAGAGGGGAATTGAGGAAGGGGGACGTCGGGCCAGCTGGTCCCCCTGGGGACCATACACTTGCTGATCACACAGAGGACCCAGTGAGGTTACATTGGGGCCAATCTACCCTAGGAGTCTCCGGAGGCAGCGTGCTCTAGCGGGCAGGGCACCCAGCGGGGACTTGGAGAGCCAGGTACTAGGCCCACAGCCCTGCTGTGTGACCTGGGACCTCTACCCTCTCCGTGCCGCCAACCCCTCATCTAGTCCGATGGAGTTTGGGGACAGTCTCGCTCTGTGCCAGGCATTGTCCTGGCACAATGGGGCGTTTCCAGGTCTGGAGAGCTCTGCCTCTCTGGGCATCAGCATATTGGGGCCCCTGTTCTCTGCTTTGGCCGATTTCAGTGGGGTGGAGCTGGCCCAGAACAGCTCTTGGAGGGCTGGGCCAGCCTGGCAATGCCTACCCCGTACCCTGGGGCAGCGGCATCCCTGGCTCAGGCATGAAACCCAGGGCCTGCCCCGCCCGGGGTGAGGGGGCAGGGGAAGGGCGCAGCTGCTTACGAAGTCAATCCGGCTGATCCTCCAGAGCTCGGGCAAGTCCCAGAACTGCAGGACCATCTGGCGCAGGCTGGTGACATTGATACAGGCCAGGACAGCCTAGGTGGGGGAGAACGGGCATGAGTGGCAAGCGGCCATCCCCTGCACTGTGCTAGCTGGTGCCAAGGCAGCCAGGAAAGGGAGCTCTTCCCAGGATGGCTGGGGGCAAAGGGAAAAGAGCCAGCTAGTCACAGGGCAACCAGCCCACAAGGGATTTGAGCACAAGGGCTGTCTGTGCCCCATGGGATGGGGGCATTGGGCCTGGCAGCCCCAGGGGTTATGGGGGTGGGCACCAGCCCTTCCCCAGGTGTCACACACATGGCCCCAGCCTCACCTTGGGCAGGTAGTGGAAGAGGGGTCCGAGCCACATGAGGACCATGAGCACCACCGCGCCGGAGAAGAAGCCCGCGAGCTGCAGAAGAGGAGGGCGGATTAGCGGGCAGGCTCTGCCAGGGCGGTGTGGCCAGCGCTGGGCCCTGCGGGGGGAGGCAGGGGTCACCAGGACAGCACGGAGAAAGCCCTAGACCCCAGAGAAGCCCCCCCATTCTTCGTGCCCTGCTCGGGGCCTCAGTGCCGGCCTCCTCTGCCCTGCGTCCGAGGAGGAGAGGGCTCCACCTGTGCCCAGCCACACAGGCCAACTGGCCACTAAGCTGAGACCTGGCAAACTCACTGCACAAGCCAGCCAGGGCTGCAGAACAGATGGGGGAGACCCCCATTAGCTAGGGAGCATGAGACTCTCACCTGCTGCACACACGCCATGGTCCAACCCCCAGTTCTGCAGAGTCCCCCATACCTGCGTGTGCCCCCCCGCACTCTCCAGGATGTTGGTGGTCGCCAGGGTGGCTGAGCTTGGGAAGCAGGTGAAGAGGGAGGAGACCAGGTTGGAAACACCATGGGCCAGCAGCTCCTGTGGGGCGGGGACAAAGACAGGTCAGGGCTACAGGGACCAGCCGGGAGGGAGCCCAGATGCATTAGGGGGCAGGCGAGACACTGGGGCCTCCCAGCTGGAAGAGGGACCAGGTGGGCAGGAGAGGAACTGATCCTGGGCACAGTGCCCTGAGCAGCCGCTGGCAATAGAGAGGCCAGGCCAGGCAGTGCCTCCCCCCGCCAGCAGCTCGCGTCCGGCCCACACACCTGGTTGGGGTTGATGGTGTAGCCATGCTTCTCAGCATAGATCATGGCCAGCGACACAGAGACGGCATAGGCCACAAAAGCGACCGCCACAGTGTCCCCAAGCACCTGAGGCAGCGACTGCAGGGCCGGGAGCCGGGGCTGCGGGAACCTGCGCGAGAGACAGAGGCGGTCACCAGGCTGGGCGGGACGAGCCCAGAGCCGCCCTGGGCTGGGAGGAGACACGTCCCTAGCCCTGGCCAGGCAGAGATGCTGCCTGGGCCACAAGGGGCTGCCCTGGGTGGCCCCACGTGCTGCCACAGAGGGGGCAGGCAGGGGGCCCTGGTGACTCCTCACCCAGCTGGCAGGTGGCCGACTACCTGCACGTCATAGCGTGTGTCCAGGGAGGAGGCAAAGCAGACGCCGGTGGCCGCCAGCACCTGGGGAGAGAGCAGAGACTGGTGGGTTACACTGCCCAGGGTGGCACCAACCCTCCCATGCCCACAGCCCACCCCCGCTGGACCCCCACTCCCCGCCTCATCCCCGTGCTGCTCAGAGGACGTGGCTGTGGGTGCAGGGCCAGGGGAGACAGCGCAGGATCTGGGCAGGGCGGATCCGGGCAGGGACACGTACCACCACGATCTCCCCCGGAATGGGTGTCCGCAGCTTGCTCCGGAAGCGGGTGTTGATCTCCTTGATGGGCACCAGCAGGGCCAGGCAGAGGGCGGAGATGAGCAGCTCGGTCATGTTGGTCCGGGGCAGAGCCTGTGCCACCGATGCCAGTGTCTGGGGGCAGCACAGGGTGCGTTACATGCGGGCCGTGGGGGAAGCCTGCTCCCAGCTCTCCCCCGGCCCCATTCCGCCTCCCTGCCCCCTTTCTCTCCCCACCACCCCACGCTGCCCCCACCGGGCCGGACGCACCTTGAAGATGGTGAAGGAGCCCGTGCGGCGGGGCAGGGGCAGGCCCAGCAGGCTGGGCAGCTGGGAGACCAAGACATGCAGGGCAGCCCCGTTGGTGAAGGCCTTGATGATGGGCTCCGAGAGGTAGGTGGCCAGGAAGCCCAGCTGGACCACGAACATCACCACCTGGGGGGAGGGGAGAGGGAAGGAACGTCAGCGCTGCCCGGTGTACGGCACAGTCCCCTCCACCCCCCAGGGTTCCTCCTCTCCCCCCCATAGATCCCTGCCCAACTCCCCTCCAGCCAGGGTCCCACCTCTCCCCCCACCCTGGATCCTTGCCCCACTCCCCTCCCATCATCCATGCCCTGTCCACCTTCCACCGTTCCCACCATCTCCAGGGAGGGTCCCTGCCCCAGGTTCTGGCAGCCCGGCGGGCACGGACTCACCATGAGGAGCCCCACGAGGAAGGCCATGGCAGCAACCACACCAACGCGGCGCTCCTCCACCCACGCCAGCTCCGCGCTGGTTGCATTGGGCCCCAGGGGCCAGGGCACCAGCTGCTCCACCGCAGTGCCCGTCATCAGGCTCACCACGGCAAAGGTGCCTGGGGAGGGGAAGGGAGACGCAGCCCCTGAGCGCTGCCCACCCACGGCCTGCCCAGAAAGTGCTACCTGCCGTCCCCCCAACCTCTGCCCGCCCCATCCATGCACAGATCCCCCCACTGCCTCTAGCCCCATCTCTACATGGATTTCTGCCCCCTGCGTATCACCCCACACACACACCCCGTGCCCCACATTCTGGGGGAGGGCACAGCTGGCATCCACCTTCCTAGCTTTGGGAGGGCACCATCAGGGGTGGGGCCCTGTTCAGCCCCTCGGTTGGTTATTGGGATCTTCCCCCCCCTCTCCCTATCATGGGAGCAGGCTGCTGGCACAGGGATGCCCGAGGAACCGGACACCCCTCCCCCACCATTTAACCCCGCCGAGCCCTGGGCGCCAGTGGTCCACTCACCAGTAGAGACGTGGCGCCCGGTGCCAAAGAGCATGTAAAGGATGACAGGGAAGAAGGAGGTGTAGAGTCCGTAGACGGGGGCCACGGAGGCCAGGAGGGCAAAGGCCATGCCTGCGGGGACCCGAGACAAGCAGGGGGGTAAGCCGGGGGGGGGGGGGCTGAGACCGCAACTGCCCCCGCTGATCTCCTAAGGACTGAGCAGCCGCATCCCACTGAGAGCTCAGGGATGCTGCTACGCCCCCGCCCCGAGATCCCAGCAGGAGGGTGAGACAGACTGAGAGGCGGGGGGGTCAGAGCAGCCCCCCAAACAGAGGGCTCCTGAGGCCAGAGCCCGTCAGCACCACAGGGTCCGGCCTGTCTAAACCGTGCCCTTCTCCATGGCTTTGTTATTACCACACCCAGGGGGAAACGGAGGCCCCGAGGGGAGGAAGGTCAGCAAGTCAGAGGCAGAGCTAGGAATGGAACCCAGGCGTCCTGACTCCCAGCCCACACTGATCTCACGCACCAGACCCCACCGCCCTCCCACAGCGGGGAAGAGAACCCAGGAGTCCCGGCCCGACTCCCAGCCCCCCTGCTCTAACCACTAGACCCCACTCTCCTCCCAGAGCTGGGGCGAGAACCCAGGCGTCCTGGCTGCCAATCCTTCTGTTCTAACCACTGGACCCCGCTGCTCCAGGAGTCCCGGCTCGCTGTCCCTCCCGTGCCCCAGGCAGAACGGCTCCAGGGCTGGGATCCACCGGAGACCCTGCAGCTACCCGCCTTGGGGCGCCCGAGCCCGGGGAGAGATGGGGGGCAGCCGAGGCAGGGGACCGTGAGACAGCTTGGGGGGGGATAGGTCGAGCCCCCTGGAGAGCGGGGGGCCCGGGGCAGCTGCTCACCCTGGGGGATGTGCACGACCCCCACGGTGAGCCCGGCCAGCGCGTCCCCCAGCAGCCAGGTCCCCGGCCGGTAGCCCGGCAGCCAGGCGGCGATGGGCAGCCGGCGCTGGAGGAGCCGCAGCGCGGCCGCCCCGGAGCAGCGGCAGCCCCGGGCCACCCGCCGGCGCAGCGCCCCGGCCGGGCTGCCCCGGGGCTCGGGCGCCCCGTAGAGCTGCTGGAAGCGCTGCTCGGTGAAGGCCCGGCCCGGCGCCAGGCGGCTCATGCTGGCGGCCCGGGCGGGCTGGGCGCGGGGCCCCTTTTATCGCCCGGCCCCGGCCCCGGCCCCGGCCCGGCCCCCGCCGGGCGGCCCCGCCTCCTCTGAGCCACAGACCCTCCCCCCGCCCCGGCTCCCAGCTAACCCCCCCCTGACCCGCAGCCCCCCCGGCTCCTATCTACCCCCCCGACCCACAGCCCCCCAGCTCCTATCTACCCACTACCCTCTGACCCGCAGCCCCCCCCCGGCTCCCATCTACCCCCCGACCCACAGCCCCCCAGCTCCTATCTACCCACTACCCTCTGACCCGCAGCCCCCCCCCGGCTCCCATCTACCCCCCCGACCCACAGCCCCCCAGCTCCTATCTACCCACTACCCTCTGACCCGCAGCCCCCCCCGGCTCCCATCTACCCCCCCGACCCACAGCCCCCCCAGCTCCTATCTACCCACTACCCTCTGACCGCAGCCCCCCCGGCTCCCATCTACCCCCGACCCACAGCCCCCACTCCTATCTACTCACTACCCTCTACCCACACCCCCCCCTCCCATCTACCCACTATCCTCTGACCCACCCCCAGCTCCTATCTACCCACTACCCTCTGACCAGCCCCCCGGCTCCCATCTACCCCCCGACCCACAGCCCCCAGCTCCTATCTACCCACTACCCTCGACCCCAGCCCCCTCATCTACCCCCACCCACCCCCCCAGCTCCTATCTACCCACTACCCTCTGACCCACCCCCGCTTCATCTACCCCCCGACCCACACCCCCCACTCCTATCTACCCATACCCTCTGACCCCAGCCCCCGCTCCCAGCTAACCCCCTCTGACCCAGCCCCCCAGCTCCTCTCTACCCACTACCCTCTGACCCACACCCCCCCCTCCCATCTACCCCCCCAACCCACAGCCCCCCAGCTCCTATCTACCCACTACCCTCTGACCCAGCCCCCCCGGCTCCCATCTACCCCCCGACCCACAGCCCCCAGCTCCTATCTACCCACTACCCTCTGACCCGCAGCCCCCTGCCCCATCTACCCCCCGACCCACAGCCCCCAGCTCCTATCTACCCATTACCTCGACCGCAGCCCCCGGCTCCCAGCTAACCCCCTCTGACCAGCCCCCAGCTCCTATCTACCCACTACCCTCTGACCCGCAGCCCCCGGCTTCCATCTACCCCCGACCCACAGCCCCCAGCTCCTATCTACCCACTACCCTCTGACCCACAGCCCCCCCGGCTTCCATCTACCCCCCCGACCCACAGCCCCCCCAGCTCCTATCTACCCACTACCCTCTGACCCGCAGCCCCCCGGCTTCCATCTACCCCCCCCAACCCACAGCCCCCCCAGCTCCTATCTACCCACTACCCTCTGACCCGCAGCCCCCGGCTCCCATCTACCCCCCCGACCCACAGCCCCCCCAGCTCCTATCTACCCACTACCCTCTGACCCACAGCCCCCCCGGCTTCCATCTACCCCCCCCCGACCCACAGCCCCCCAGCTCCTATCTACCCACTACCCTCTGACCCACAGCCCCCCCGCCCCGGTTCCCATCTAACCCCCATCTGACCCACAGCCCCCCCCCCCCCCCCCCGGGCTGCCATCTACCCCCTACCCTCTGACCCACAGCTCCCTCCCCGGGCTCCAATCTAACCCCCCTCTGACCCACAGCCCCCCTGGCTCCCATCTACCCCCGCAACCCACAGCCCTCCCCCAGGTCCAACTACCCCCCTCTGACCCACAGCTCCTTCACCACCATCATCCCTAGAGACCCGTAAAGGCCGGGCACTGGCTGGAGAGGGGGCTGAGCCCAGGCAGGCCAGAGCCATGCCTGGGACACAAGGAGCATCCTGCCCCTGAGCGCTGATCCTGCACGATGCCCAGCCAGCTCCCCCTGACCCCGGGGGCCCAGCTCCTGGCAGAATTAGGCCCTTTGGATTCTGCACCCCCACGTTCCCAAGGCAGAATGGGGGTGTGAACAGAGCGCCAATGCACCCCCAGTCATGCCCACTGCTCCCTGCCCAGTCTGGGGGCTGCACCCAGAGAGCCTGGTGCCTTCAGGAGGTGGGGGGGGTGCACTGTACCATCCCTCTCCTCTGCCTCCAGCAGCCACCGGGCCTCCTCCCATCCCAATCTCCAAGCCCCCCGCCCCACAATGGGGTCTCTGTGGCCCCCCACCCAAGAGCTGTCACCCCATATCCTGTTTGCCAGCCCAGCTGGGGGACACCCCTCCCCTCGCCCCAGGCAACCAGATGGATTCAGCCCCCTGATTGCCGAGGAGCCGCTGGGGGTGGGGGGGCAGCCTCAGCAGAGAGGCTGGGGGCTGAACAGGCCACCGAGGCCAAGCTCCCCTCAGCCTGTTGGGGAGGGGGGCATTGCCAGGTGTGCCCTGTCCTGTCACATTGGGAGGGGCCCACATGCGGGGCAGCCCCATCCTCCTGGGGGTCTCTGAGCACCTGAACCCCAGAAGCCCTGCAGCCAGGCAGCCCCCCCACCCCAGGCCACTCCCCGTCTCCATTCTCCCCTGCCTCCCCCCCCCCCCCCCGCCACCCAGCCTGGCCTCTAGGTAACCTGGGAACTCAGGAGTGAATCCTTCCCTATAAACAGGATCTTCCCATTGAACTAAATCCCGCCAGGGAGGAAACCACTCCCCCAGCAGCCCCATGCCCCCCTCGGCCCGGCCTGGGGCCTGCTCCCAGGAGCCCGACTCATGCCTGGCCCCGCTAAGCTAAACACAGGAACTATCATGCGCCCAGGGCCGAGCCAAGCACACGCGGCGCATCGGGCCAGCAATGGCCCGTAGCCAGAAGCCTCCTGCTCCGGGTCTCCCTGAAACCCCCCGACGGCCGGAAGCTGGGACGGGACGCCAGGGGAAGGATCACTCGATAACCGCCCTGGTCTGGCACCAGCCCCGGTCGGAGACAGGCCACTGGCTGAGCTGGGCCGTCGGGCTGCCCCAGCACCAGCCACATTTCTCCCGCCCCCCACCCCCGAGGCGCCGTGCAGGGAGGGCGATGCCCCCGGCCTTTGGGGAGGGGGGAAAGGCAGCTGATCGTCTACATGCCTCCCCTGCCCCCCCATCAGTCTGTCCATCCCCCTATGCCCCCCTCTATTCCCACCCCATCCACCGCTACCCAGCCACCCCCATCCATACTCCCCTAGTTCCATCTATCCCCCTCTATCCATCCATCCCCACCCGCACCCCTGTCCCCATCTGTAGGGCCCCTTTTGTCTGTCTGCTCCCCCCACCCCATCCCACCCATGACTGTGGTATCGAACGGTTGATCCCAGGCTCTGAAAATCCGTCCCCCCCCCCAGTTATGGAAGGGAAATTCCACCCATCCCCCGAGTTATGGAAGGGAAGCCGCAGCGGGGCAGGATCCTTAGGGCTCTGGCAAGCAGGCCCCCCTGCTCCACGCCACACACAGGAGAGTCACGTGGCTTTCCACAGCCGCCGCACTGAGGAAGAGGAACCCCTGTCTCCAGCGCCCTCCACCCCAGCTCCTGGCTGTCTGGCTGCCCTGAAGCCTGGCTGCCCCCCCCATACACACAGATTCAAGGGCAGGTGCAGACTATAACATCCATTGCAATGATGCCTCGGCCTGTGCCCTTTTCCAGGCACTTCTAGCCAGTAGGAGCACAGGAAATGGGGAAGGGGGGGTCCCATTTAGCCCGGGGAGGGGGAGGCATTTAACCTTTTGGATGCTGGACTGTTCAAGGCAGAGGCTCTCCCACGGAGATCACATTCTTCTCTCACTGCAGCCAATGGGCGTTAAGCACCGAAATACCTGTGTGGCATGGGGCTAAAGGCCTTGGCGGCAGAGAGAGGCTGTCCCCTCCTATTGCCCAGCCCCCACCTCCCCTTCCATCACCCTACGTTCCCCTTTATTGCCCCTTGCCCAGCCCCCACATCCCCTCCCTGTCCCATAACACCCTTGCACTGCCATTTCACGGCTGGGAACAAGGTGGGGCAGGCAGCCCCACGTAGCCGCCAGCTCCCCGCTGGCCCCCAGTCCCTCTCGGGGGCTTCCAGCCGTCGCTCTGTGGGAACCTCTCCCACCTCCAACACCCCTGGCTCCTGTGACCCCCCCCCCGAACTTCTAGCAAACCCACCCGGCTGCAGTGCCTCGCCCCGGGAGTGGCACCTGGCTGCCCACGCCCTTGCTAGGAGCTGGCAGGGGAGGGACAAGGGCTCCCCGGCTAATTGCTCTGGTGGCCGCCAGTTCGGCGCCCAAGGATGACCGTTTGCAGCAGCCTCAGATCGCCCCTGGAACTGGACCTGCCGGGCACTACCCCCCCGTGTCGTCGGCAGCGGGCACCGCCCAGCACGGGGGCCTGGTTGTGGCCAGAGCTGTGGCAGGACCGTCCTGTTGCTGTGGCCCATGTGCCAGGGGGCCTGCTCAGCTGTGCCCCACCAGAGTGGCCTGATTGTCAGCAGGGCCTGATTGGCACTGCCCTGGTGCCATGTCCCCGTCATCGCTGGGCCCGGCTCCGCGACTGCCCCCGGGCTGCCCGCTTGGCGCTGCCCTGGCATCCCCAGCCCATTCTGCGCTGCCCCATCCCCATCTTCCCAGCTCCGGCCCGAACCCGCCTCGGCCAGAAGGGAGCTCCCGGCTGCCTCTCCCCGGCCCATTCTTCAAAGTCTGGGTGGTGCAGGCTGGAGCCTGCGGCCTTCCAATTCCTTCCATTGTTCCCCTGGCGTCTTATCGCGCCGGCTGGCTGCCTGGCCCGCTCGCTCCGCACGTCCTGTCCGCGTTAATCCCACCTCGGGGAGGCCGCGGCCAGTGCCTTCTCAGCCCCCACATTGTTCGCAGGGAGGAGAGCTCCAGGGTGGGTTCCTGTATTTCAATGAGCCTCCGAGGATCCGTCTGGCCGCCTGCCACTTGGCAGCCTGGCCCGCCCGAGGGTAACAGGGTGATGGGCCAGGGCCACGGACACTCATCTTCCATCTCCCTCCCGCCCCGAACGCTATTGTCTGACGGCAGGAAACC